CCGGTGGGTCATGCTTCAGTAGCCATGACTGTAGACTGTTACTGTCCTGTCCCTACGCAGCAGTAAGCAGTCTAGAGCCAAGGTGCCGATGCGCTGACTCGGGCTCTCCTCGACGGGGTCTCTCCACGCTTTTCCGACGGTCGGGGTGAAGGCGACACAGAGCGCGGGGTGCGGGGGTGCGGTGTCCCGGTGCGGGGTATGGAGGGGGGGAAGGGGGGATGGACGTTGCGGGGGGGGGGGGGGGGGAGCACGTCGGGGCTGGATGCGGAGACAGTGGGATGCCAATGTCACCCGCAGCAAACAGCGCGGGGAGGGGGGGTGGGGGGGGGCTGAGGAGAGGAGGGGGATACACGGTGTGCAAACACACGCACTCACATAAACACCCCACAGTGTGGGGGGGGGCGGTCGCCCCCCCTCCCCCCTTCCCCTTCCCCGGGGCGGCTCCGCCTCCGCGCCCGCCCCCACCGGCGCCGCGCCCCGACCCCACCGCCCCCTCCGCACGTGGGGCTGCGCCAGGCGGCCCCGATCCGCCCCTGTTCCCGCCGCAGAGTGCCCCCCCCCGTCTCGATCCCATTCCTCCCCCGTTCCCACATACAGGTGCAGCGCTCGATGCCGCGGAGCTGCGCTGCCCCCTCCCGTCCCCGCTTACCTGGAGGGGGGGGGCGGATTCAGCCTTACCTCCCCCCCGGACCCCGACACTTCCCGGTCCGGACCCGGAGCCCCGCGGTTCCACCCCGGTTCGGGGACGGCGCCGGTGTGGCGATGCTGCGCTGTCCGCAGAGCGCGGAGCTTTTATAGGATCGGGCTCGTAGTAACGGGGATCTCGGCTCATTCATAGAAAAGCATCAACCTACACAATGACGTGAGCGCTACGTCAGCGAGGAAATTTAGGGAACGGGAAGACGCTACTATTTATATCGGGGCGGGGGGAGGGCAACGGCCCGAGGGTGGGGAGAGGGGTCCGGGCTGCACCGGGACCCCGACATCACCCCACCTCCCCCGGCCACCCATCCCCGGTGGGGATACGCAGAGGGGCAGCCCCGATCCCCGCATCCCTCCTCCCGTTGGGGGTGCACCCCACAGAGCGACTCGACACCCCTGGACGGGGTCACCCCCCAGACACTCACCTCCCCCCCGTGCCCATAAGCTCGTGCTGTGGGGCTGAGCTCTGGGGGAAAAAGATCACACAGAGACCCGGGAGGGGGGAGAGCGGGTTGGGGGAGGGGGGGGGCGTCCAAACCCGGGGGTGCCTCCTATACACCTGCACTGTGCCCACCCGCCCTCATATCATGGTGTCACTTCCCCCTTTGTGCCCCCAGTGGGCACCCATGGGTGTCCTGCAGAAGGATGGGGCACAACAACGTGTGTGTGTGTGTGTGTGTATTGGGGGGGAGTTTGGAGCTTCCCCCCCCCCTACATTGCAGCTGCCCCACTGCAGCACTGTGCTGCCCTAATGCAGCCTAGCAGGAGGCCAGGGGCTCGATCCCACAGAGGGGCACCGAAACCCCAAAAACGCTGTGTTCCCAATGAGCCGGCTTGGGTGAATTTCCGAAATTTAACTCCTGCCATCCCAAATGCCAGCACCCGGAGCAGAGTGAAACTAAACCCACAGCCATGAGGACGTGGGGGGACAGTTTCCCCGGTGGTACGCATCCCATACCCCCCATAGAACCCCCCTCTCCCCCCCCTCGGTTCCTGTCGGAGTCTTCTGACCTCACTGGGCTCCGGCGAAGCATCATAGCGGTCGCCACGGCAACAGCAGCGTTGTCATTGACAGCAGCACCGCGCCGCCAGCACCCGCCGCTGCGTAAGGCCGCGACCCCCCTTACACCCACCCCAAACCCCCCGCCCCAGTGACCCCCCACGTCCATCCCTCCTCCCTCTCCCCCCGCCCTCTTCCCCCAGACCCCCGTTCCGACGGGAGCCCGCTTCCACCCCAAAAGCCTGTTAAATACCCCGCCACCCACACTCACTCATCCCCCCTCGTATCCCCCTTCCGTCTCCCCCCACCACTTTTAGCCCTTTCTCAGCGCCCGCCCCGTCGGGGCTCTCTCCGGTTTTCGGAGGCTCCGCTGCCGCAGCGCTCCCCGCCGCAGCCGTGACTCAGCCCCGGGATTAGTCAGCACCGGGGACGGCCCACCGGTACCGGCTGCGCACTGCCTCCCCCGGATCCGCCACTGCCGCCCCCTCTGAGACCGGGGGCCGCTTTTCACCCCTCACCCACCCCTCCCGCGGTCCCCCGTTGGGAACCTTTCGGGACGAAAAGCGGCCCCCGGTCCCCGAGGGGGAGGCGGTGGGTTGTGGGGGGGGGGCGTTGTGTCCCGGAGCGCAGCCCGTTGCTGCCATCTAGTGGGGTTTGCGGCAGCCCATCCGCAGCCCCTCCATCCTATAAGCGTCCCATAGTGGAACGGGTGGTGGTGGAAGGGGGCCGTGGGGGTCCGAAGCGCTTCCCGACATGGAAAGGTGATCCCAGCCCCTACCAAGCTGCTGGAAGTGTTCCTCACCCAATAGAGCATCGTCCTAAAATGTGTCCTATTGTCTTACGGAGCACTGACCCAAAGGGATGGGGTCCCATCATCATCATCCCAAGGGAATCGGTCCCATCACCCCACCAAGCACCAACTCAAAGGGATGCAGTACCATCACCAGTGTCCCAAAGGGATGGAGCCCCATCATCCCACCAAGCACCATCCCAAAGGGATGTGGTGCCATCATCCTGTCATACATCGTCCCAAAGGGATGGGATCCCATCACCATTGTCCTGGAAGGATGGAGTCCCATTACCTCACCAAGCACCGTGCCAAAGGAATGGGGTCCTCTGCCTAAGAGTCATCCCAAAGGCATCCTAAAGCCATCCCACTGAGCATCATCATCCTGTGAGGAAGGGCTCTCACTGATCCATTAAACATCACTCGGCAGAGAAGGGTTCTGCTTGTATGGGTGAGCATCATCCCACACTGAAGGGGAACCCACTGCCCCATTGTGTCACCCCACAAATCAAAAGGTCCCATCTCCCCATCCAGGTGATGGAAACCTCCTGAAGGTCAACAGGGAGCCGTGTAGAGCCCTGTGCTGGGAATGGGGTGTGGGATACAGCCTGGAAGCCTGTGGGGTCCTGGTGGGCGATGAAAGGTGATGGTGTCCTGGTGGGAGCACATGGAGACCCAAGGGTGTCCTGCATGGGGATTTGGATGTGGTGCTGGGCACCAGCTCTGGGTGGCATTGTGAGAGAGGGACCAGAGGGATCTCCAACCTCAGCCATCGTGGGATTCTGCCCCTCGTTCACCTGAGCATCACCCCACAGAGAGGGTCTCTCAGCACGCTGCCTCTCAGGGGAGGAACCCCTCATCCAGGGAGGGATCCCCCCAACCCACCCCACAGGGAAAGGGCCCCATTGCTTTCCATGCCATTGCCCCACAAGGAAGAGATCCCACTGCCCCACAAAGCATCACCTCATAGAGAAGAGCCCTTCACCCATCACAGCACCGCCCCACAGTTCGGGTTTCCCCTTGCCCACCCTGCCCCAACGGGGACATGCAGCACAGTGCAGCCCTTGGCCCCAAAACACGGGCCTGTGGTACCGGGGGACACCTGGCAGAGCTCAGCACAGGCACACGGAGTAACCCCACAACCCACATCCAACACCCAACCGGAGGGCAGCCCATAGCTGTCACGAGTTTCACAGCCTCAGCCGGTGCACAAACGGGACCGAATGCCACCGTGCTGGAAGGGGACTCAGCCCCTATAAAGGGGCCACACAGGGGCTGTGGGGCTGCCGTGCCCCCGGCACCGCCGGGAAAATGAAGTGTGAGCTGCCAGCGGGGCTCCAGGCTCCTGGCGGTGCCGGATGCGGCCCGGCTGGCCAACGCCGTAATCGAACACATGTGTGTGGGCTACGGGGAGAGGCTGCGCTGGGAAACGGGGCCCTGCGGAGACCGGGGGGCTGCATCCTGTCCAACAGCCCAGGTCCCACATGAAGCCAGGCGTGCGAGCGCGATCCAAACCACAGCTGGATTTGAACCCAATCTCCCGGCATCTGGGCTAATTTGCTGCGCCGTGATTGATCGTGGGGAGGGGGCACAGGCGGGAGACGCTCCAGCTCAGACCTCCCAACAGAGCCAATGACTTAAGCAGAGCTGTTTCCAATCTGCGCCGCACATTGAGGCGAAAATGCCCCCTTTTTTTTTTCTTTCTCCTCCTTTTCCTTCTCTTCCTGAGCACTCCTGCTCACCAGCTCTGCCTGCGGCGTGACAGGGCAAAGGCAAAGCTCCGCTCTGAGACGTCGGGGCCGCGGGGCTCAGCTCACCCCCCTCCACCACCTGCCCCAGCCTTTGGGCTGCGAGAAAAAGGTGGAGGAGTCGGAGGTTCCTCCCCCTCCTCTCCACCCCCCCCCCCCCTCGGGCTCAGTCACTCAGCAGGTAGCGGGGGCAGCCCGGGGTCCCGAGGGGGGGGGGCAGCTGTCGGGGAGCCGCTGTGATTGATGCATCACGGCCCCATAAATTACGCGGACGCAGCCCGCGGGAGTCATCGCTCACAGCGACGTCCAAAGCTCCCTGCCAGAACCTGAAACACTTCCAGCCGTTAATTGAACAGGAAAAAAAAACCCCTAAAAAATTATGTATGTAGATATATATATATATATAAAAAGAGAGGAGGGTGAGGGGAAATCAGTGCCCGGGGGGAGAGGGGAGGGGGATGAAATCACTGCTCCGCAATGAGGGTCAGCACTCGTTCCGCTCCCAGGATCCCGATGTCGCCGGGTTTGGGTTCGGGGCTGCGCGGTGCCACCTCGCTGTGGCCAAAATC